GGTGTAAATCATCAGTGCGAAAAAAAATTTTAAAATCTCTGTTTAAACTTTATAGTGTTGCATGTTTTGTTAAAATTCAATAAATTAAAAATCTAGATTTTTCATAGGAAATAATATATTTCTTATTAATAAGAATAATATTTATTTCAAATATATTTGACCAAAACGTTGCGAAAATGAAACTGCAGTTTATACGTCAAATTCATTGAACCACTGAATTTAAGAAAATGATGAAAAGGATTAAACTTGAAGGAATGGAAATTGTAAAAATACAATTTTTTCAAAAACGTCAGAAATGTGGTTAAAAAATGTTTCGCTAGAATTATTTAGAATATTTCATTCAAGAACGCCATGTCTCGTAAAATATATATGTATACTCAAATGCAGCTGAGTCAACAATATTCAGCTTCTAAAACTAGTAGCATGGAACATTCCCTATGCATTAAATCCTTTCTAAAGCTTCCCATTTTACTTTTAACGCTTACGGGTATCGAGCGGATTTGTTTCGAAATGTTGCTCCTTAACGTTAAACCCTCTTTAAAACTGATGGACGTTCCCAGATAAAGTCTTCTATTCCAAGAAAGGTTTTATGTATCCACTGGCAGCACGTCACTCCCTTTAGAATAAGTACTTTAAAGAATGTCATGCTAATGGAAAGCCATCATCCACTCCTCATGACTTTGAATGTCTCAACTCATACTATACTCGGAACTGAGTAGGTGTGGAAAGCGCGTGCCGTGCCCAAATTTCCTCTATACATTCGAGCAATATCGTAGAGAAGGATACTATCGAAGTTCTTTCAGTTAAGACATTCTGTAGTCCATAACAAGTTCGGAAAAGGATCGAAAATAAATTTAGAAATTTCTGTTTATAGTTCTGCAATGCATATATTATAGTAGTAAATGTGCATAATGATGATAAACAAAATATTTAGAAGCTTTCTTAAAATGGAAATATTTTATACCTTATGTCGTATTTAAACTTACATTTTTAATTTTTATGCCTTCGTTGCATCATAAAACTTATAATATGTACCCGTGTATAATCAAGTATCCTCAAAACCAAATCATCATAAAACGAATTATGTGATAGACATAAAACTCTTTCATTGACAGGCTTCAAATTACATCATAATATAGTTATGAATAAGCTAATACTGCGATGTAAAATTTTATAATTAAAAGTAAGATGATGAAATATTTATCATAAGGATGACTATTCAACAACGTATCGCTCTCATATTTAGGTAAAGACCTATAGTGAGCAGTTAGAATAGTAAACTGGCATTAAATAATAATATTGGAATGCATGTTAGCCTTTCCTCAGCATAACTTTTAATCTTAAAGGGCAAGTCTTTTAATTTATTATTTTTTATCAGCTTAAAAGCATGTTAAGACTTATCTGACTTCTCTGAATGGCATCAGAGCAAGTCCTACGAATATTATCGTGGGGAAGAAGACAGTACGACGTTGCCCAACTCCCCTTCACTTTTGAATCCTTTCGAGGACGGATCCAGGGGTTTCCATCTCACTTTCCCCGACCACAAAATCACTCGAGAGGACTTTCCGCATCTTTTAAGTTCTAGATGCCACAAAGACACTTCACGCTTTCAAACATCCCCAAATTTTTCTTCTTTTTTATTCTTATCCACTCAAAAAGGCTATCAGTCTGGAAATGTTGCTTTACTTTTCGTTCAAATCTACTGCCATTCGAAGAAATTTACATTATTTTTTCATATTTAATCTGTGTCTACTGATGAAAAATATGCTAATTAAAAACAACAGATGCAGGTCTTAAAATATTACTTTTACTTTTGCAGTTGGCTGATTTAAATAAAAGCCCATTTAATTCATTATGCATCTAATTTAAAAAATTAAATATTTCTATAAAATTATACATATTTTTTCTGTTTTTAAATATACAGAAGGTACATACCGTTCCCTTGTTAGACTAAATGCATATGCGTCTAAATAATATCCTGTAAAACGTTTGCCTATTCTACTTGCGCCAATTTTATCGATAATATCTGCTGTTAAACCATATTAAACTTTAAAAAAGCCCTTTTGTTCAATCGTTAAAATCTGAACCATTTCAGAATTTATTTTTTTTTAATTTTATTTATTTCATGTTAAAACTTTAATTAGCTTAAATACTGAAGATAGAAATTCTGTTGTAAAATTTTAAAAGTTCATATATAAAAAGTTTTAAAATAAAGCAAGGTGAAATATTATTAGGTATACGAAATCGTAACGAAAGTAGGTTTTTGAAATTAAAATTTAACTTCAGTTACAAATGGCGGAACTGATTATAACAAAAACTGGCTATTCTCGAAAAAAACCACAAAATTTTATAATTGTTAGCTGCTGTAAATAATTCTATCTTTAGAAATGGACATAAAATTAGGATTAACGATTAGACTTACTTTAAACATATTGTAATGTGCTTACGGTTTCGTAGTAGATTGCACGCACACAGAACCGATCATTGCTTGATAAAATTTATTTTACCAAAAAAAAAAAAAAAAAAAAAAAAAAAAACACTTTACAGTTCTGGAATTTTTCACATTTTCCAGGTCTTCTCCGTATCTCAGAACACAGTCAGTAATTACATTTCAAACTACTAAGAAGATAAACACAACGCAATGCAAAGCTCATCTAAAGAGTGAAGCTTACACGGATTACCCTGTAGTCGACTCAGAACTGAGAAACTGAAAGCAGGTGCTCTCTTCGGTCTTATATAGTTTTCATCCGACAGCCGAGAAATCTCTAGTAACTTCCATTTCTCGAAATTACTGGGAGGCAACAACGGTTAAAGTTACATGTAAGGGCCGTATATGATTACAGTTACATGTAGGGATCAATTACAGTTACTCAGTTACAGTAGCAGTTAGTTATACAGGGACGGGACCAAAATGTCGCCGAAGTGACTTTTTGCAATTTATCGCAAAATTTGCCAACAAAACTTAGTCATCAAAACCGTCGTCATCTTGGCCCATTTTACTTCAGTGTTAAATAGACTTGGCTCTGTAATCTTATTTTTTCCGATAGAACGTCTAGTCTTCAGATTTTTACGTTTCATTATACAAAAGATACTGCAGTTTTAAACATAGCTTCACTGAAATTATTTATATATTTGCAAAATTTCGTAACAATATGATCAAAAGATTAGACTTTTTTAAAAAGATTTAAGGTTAGGTTTTAGTAAACATGAATACTAATTGTTAATTATTAATGCATAATTTCTGTCCCTCCGAAGGAAAAATAGGTTTATCAACTCGATTGAGAATTAAAATGTTTAAACAAAACCTGATGCATAATTTGATCGACATATAGTAAATAAGTTTATTTAATTCTCAGAATGAAATAAAATATATATGAGTTATGATTCTAAAGCCTTATTTAAAATTTTCAGAATTTTTAACACACGTTTCCTATAAAAAAGATATTTAATAAAAAAGTTAATTAATATAATTTCGAATACATGAAAACTTTAGATTTCGAAAGTTGACCATAATAGAACTGGAGGCATCTAGTATTATACTCAACATGAAATATTGGACGAAGCTCAGTGAGATTTGGAATAATGCAGTATGTGGTTACAATTGTAAACCAAGCTGTCTTTCCAAGAAAAAATAATGTGTACACCATCATCTTTCCTATGCTTCTTTTAACATTCACGAAAACCTTAATTTGGTATCTTTGTAAGGTGAAGCATATAGACATTTGAAACACATGGAATTACAATTTATAAATTACTGATCTGTTAATCTTTTTGTACAGTTATTATGCTTGTAAATACCGCAGGAGAAATGAAGCTTTTTCGATAACGTCAAAGTTTTGATGAGTCACCATATTTCTCATGAATCAGCAAGACTCTCCATTGTCATTAAATTGAGGAAATAAATATGATAAAAGTAGTAATCGTCGAATCGTCAAAAAACGATCGCTATTATTAAAAAATTACTTACAAAAGGATTATAAGATTAAGAACCTGGACTAAATGCAACATTACTGCAGAAATAGCTAAAAAATGTGCTTATCTATTTTACGTCTTTAAATGTCGTAAACAACGCCCAGTCATGTAGTCTGAATTAAATATGTGAACTGAATGTGAAATCTTTTACAGTTTTAAAAATTCGAATGCTTTTTTTTGGTATCATCTCTTATGAGGTGAAACGACATAAATCAGTGAATCTCAAAATATTATCAGGAATATCTCAACCTTAAATAAAATTAAATATTAAAAGGACGCATGGAAGATTGCATCATACACACACACACACACATATATATATATATATTAAAAAATAGGAAATGACGTAGCAGTGTTGTTTGGCATAGCACGTAGATAGCATATTGAAGAGAGATAGGAAGCTTGGCAGTCGAGGCAGATTAAATTCCATTTATTTATATTTAAATTCACATTTGTAGCCTTAATTCACTTGCCACTCTAATCGTGCTTATGTTCAGAACATTTACATTTTTGAATGCTCTTGCGGTAGGAAGAGAACACAGCGAAATGAAATGGCGTCCAAGCATCAACAGAGATAAAAGCGAAGTGCGTATTTATCCAATATAGTAGCTCGTCAAAGAGGAACGTTTTGGTTTAAGTTAGAAAGGTTTCAGTTCTCAGGTTCCGAAATAACTATGTCATAAGCATTACGCAAACTTTGTGGCATAAATTAATCTACAAATGGCGCAGTGCAGAAATGTTATTATTATTTTTAGAACACAGAGAAAATAACAAAATTAAAAGGCTATTACTAAATTAAATTATAAAACTGATTGACATATTTTTTTATCTTATATATATGTGTGTGTGTGTTTATTATTTATTGCCTCCATTTTATAAAAGCATAAGAGTATACGCAGAAAAGTTGGAATTTTGGATTGTAGAAACTTTTTAAATATTTATTCATATTAATATCATAAGCACTAAAAGGAGGCTTTAGGATACATATTTCTTTTTAAAATAACTCATTAGAATGAGTTATCCTCTGTGATACCTTATACAAAAACCTTTCTTCTTATGGTGAATGCGGTAGCTTTTGCTGTTGAAGTTGTCAGAGCTTTATTACTGGTCAGCGACTGCAAAAAGAAAATGGTAACATTTGAAAGGAGGTCTTCGGCTAAGCTGAAATTATATTGTGTTCTTTCCTTAATTTCCTTATTACGTATCTTACTTGATCTGCATAAATAATTGATCGTTGTGACCATGGTACTCTTAAAAGGCTTCTTGCTTTCTCATTCGAAACATTTTGCAATGAATGATGACGTGAAACGATGACGTATATCATATCTCTACTTTCTATTGAAGTCATAGAGTTTGTAGGTGAACATGTTAGTTATCATTATACCACCATTCAGACAAAAGAAATGAATTCGCTTAAACTTTCTTTCTATGAAAAGTATTTTACAATTAAGACAGTAATTTTCCCATATCGGTTTGACATGGTGAATGTGTAAAGATATAACACCGAAGCAGTTCTAGACTGCAGGAAAATTTGTACGTGAAAACGTAAGGGTATTCACAAAACTTTTCGAAGTGTTATACGATGGAAGACATACTGTTTTAGTAGTCAGATTTTGCAGAGACATACTGTTTTAGTAGTCAGATTTTAAAGATTATAAATACGAACAAAGATAGAGTTGGAAATCGGCACTGAGACTCAGATTTTGGACTTTACATGCTTTTGTCCTTATATTTGTTTTTTACTGGGCAGTTCCATTTTTTGATCATAAGGCCGGTTTGTGCCAGATAGGAGGATCAGGACTGTGCCCTTATAGTAATAATAATAATAATAATAATAATAATAGTATTTTAGTATATACAGCCCTGAAAATTTTAGTGATGATGCACTTGTATGTGCTCGTGTAACTTCTTTAACTCAAATATCCAATCAGTTTTCCACTCCCAGTGACTCCAAAGCAATTTCATTTCTTTACAAAACTCTAAATAATTTCTAACAACAATCGCTTTAAATATTAATCGTACTCAAAGAATCCATTCGTAAGTCTTTTGATTCCAAAATTCTTTAAATGCAGTTCTAAACTTAAATTCTATAGAGTGTATATATGCTGCTTCTTAGGTAGAGGATATTGACAATTAATGTGCGATCAACTATGAACATCCTGACGTTTCACCTGTGGAACAAGAGGAAACTATCTATAACTCATTATCCATTTGAAAATGTAAATCGATTAACTATCTAACAGTATATACACCCATGCCCCTAAATTAAGGATAATTCGGAGTCACGCGGAAATCGAACTCTAAAATAAATATATCACCTGTAAAATCACTACACACATCTTCAAGAATCATATGCAAATTTCAGGAAGAAACCAGATGACACCGATGCTACGTCACAGTGACGAGAGTGTAAGAGAGTCATTTATAAGGAATACAGGCAAAGAAGTAAAATTGTTCGCAGGCGCTTTATAAGCATTTCAGTGCAATAACCGAATAGTTATGACACAAACGACGCATTTGGATGATTTTTTACGTGGTAGAATTATCGGCCGTCTGGAATGTGGGCGTACACAACTGGATGTATCAGACTAACTTGGAATTGCCCAGAGTGTCATTTCCAGGCTTTGGCAACGATTCCAAGATGATGGTAATGTGAGTAGACGTTACAGCACAGGTCGCCCCAGAGTTACAACGCCGAATGAGGACCGGTATTTGGCAGTTACTGTCAAAAGAAACAGGTAGAGCACAGTCTCAGACCTGTTACGTCAGCTCCCTTCAGCCACTGGTACGACAATTTCAAGGCGGACCGTGTACAGACACTTAGGGCAGATTGGTCTATATGCTCGTCAGATGCTGTCAGATGCGTTCCACTTACTGCAACTCACTGCCGCCTGCGGTTAGCCTGCAGTAGAAAGCATGCATTGTGGACACCGCAACAGTGGGCTTGTGTGATGTTTTTCGACGAGTCCAGACCATTTTAGTAAGTAAGTAATCGAGTAAAAACCATTTTAGTTTGCAATCTGATTCTCGCCGGACTTTCAGATGGAGAGCTCCAGGTACCCGTTACCACCAAGAAGAAGTTATTGAACGACACCGTTACGGTGGTGCAGGAGTGCTCGGTTGGGGTGGAATTATTCTAGGTTCCGAACTGCATGTTCAAATTGGAACCACGACAAGCCAAATCTATCGGGACGTCATTCTGGAACAACATGTACGTTTGTTTCGGTGCGCCATGGGCGCACAATTTGTGTTTATGGATGACAACGCCCGTCCTTACCGTACAAACATCGTAAGCGAATGCCTTCAATCGTAGGATATCACCCGTATGGACTGGCCAGCCTTCTTACAGGACTTGAATCCAGTAGAACACGTGTGGGACATGCTTGGCCGACAAATTGCATCCCGTCAACCTCCTCCTACATGTCTACCGGAACTTCGGAGAGCATTGCTTTTTGAGTGGTGTAATATCCCCCAAGATAAGATCGATAATTTGATACTCAGCATGCCTAGGCGTTGTACGGACTGTATTGCATCGTCTGAGAGACATACAATGTATTAACATTCATACCAACCATGTAATATTGGTTTTTTGTAAATAGTTTTTTTTTTGTGTAATTTGCTTCAGGGAGCAAAAACCGCTAATTTTTTTAATAATATCAAACATATAGCATCTTTTTTGCTCTTTACCTTTAGTTTAATAAATAAGGTTTACAAATAAGTCAAATTTGGACACAATAACACGCCGAGCAAATACTAATTCAGAAGTCAAACAACAAAAATCAGCGTTAATTTACAAAATTTTCACAGGACTAGTTTCGATGGTTTTACCGAACCATCATCTTCAGTTGCAAAACCGCAAAATGCGGTCAGATGCTGTCAGATGCGTTCCACTTACTGCAACTCACTGCCGCCTGCGGTTAGCCTGCAGTAGAAAGCATGCATTGTGGACACCGCAACAGTGGGCTGCAAAATGCGCAAAATTCATTTTGCGGTTTTGCAGCTGAAGATGATGGTTCGGTAAAACCATCGAAACTAGTCCTGTGAAAATTTTGTAAATTAACGCTGATTTTTGTTGTTTGACTTCTGAATAAGTCAAATTTGTTTTGCTTCTAACTCTTCCTTTGCCTGATTTTGCATTATTCTTAATTTATGGACATGTGTGTACATTATGTAATATAAGAAAAGAGCCGGTGTGTGCTCACCCTGATTGCCCATCCTGAATTTGGATAGCTTTTTTCCACAAAAATTTAAAGTACACTTTCTGAAAATATGTTTATATACTTGAGATTTGTCCTATAATTATTTCTATGAAAAGTTTGAAACATCTACTAAATACATGGTTTTGATACCCAATATTCATTAAGACACAATAACACGCCGAATAAATACTAATTCAGAAGTCAAACAACAAAAATCAGCGTTATATTTACCAAATAAAGCTTATTCTTGTCCAGGCTTTCTTATCTTATCTAATCATTATTTCCTATCTGGTTCATTTGCGGTTTTGCAGCTGAAGATGGTGGTTCGGTGAAATCATCGAAACTAGTCCTGTAAAAATTTGGTAAATATAACGCTGATTTTTGTTGTTTGACTTCTGAATTAGTACCCAATATTCATGTCAGAAATTTGTTTTTTTGCTTGCCTGATGACCAACCATTTTTTCCTTAGTAAAATTATGTAATTATTATTTATAAATTATTTAAAGGCATCTCCTTCAACTTAATTACGCTGTTTTTGTAAAGAGAAATACACTATTTTTGCAACTTATAAAATATTTAAAATAAAATGAATCAAAAGTTTAGTAAAATGCATTCGTAGATCATAAATAAATCATCGAAAAGTCATTAAATTCTAAACAGACAATTATTTATTGAGCGTTATTTCTGAAACGTCTTTTAATAAATACAAAAAAAAAAAAAAATCCTTTGCTGAAAATATTGAGATTATGATCTCCAGACTTCGATTGATTCAGAGTGATAAGTTATCTGAAAGAGTTTTAAATAGTATAAATTATGGTGATTTGTTAAGTTTGTCATGAAGTAGTGGATCTCTATGGTCAATTTGTAAGTTAAAGGAAGTGGTAGTGGTACTGGGGCAGGATGCAGGAACGTGAAAAATGCGCAATGCCCACACCAGGATTCGAACTCTGCACCTACCGAATACAAGTCGTGTGTGCTTCCAGTTACATCATGAAGGTATGGGGAAAGGAGAGAGAAAGAAACCTTATAACGTTTTTATGATATTTATTTCAGTAGTTATTTATTTTTACGGTAATTTTGCTACGTATATAAAAGTAATGTTATTACATTATTCGGGCATACCAATTTTTCCTGAAATTAGGGATCTGGAAAACAGATTTAAAAGATTCACAAAGCTAAAGCTGCCGCCCATTTTAATGCCTAAAATGTTGTATTGGATAAAATAACTTTCATTATTAAAATTGTTGTTGATCCTTCAAAAAATGTTTTAATCATATCTCTCAAATAGTTTCAGGGAAGCACAGAAAAATACCATTTACTTTAACCAATTAAAATACAAACATGTTTAACTAAATGGAAATTTTGATCTGCATGGATAAAATAAAAGGTTATTTTGTAATTTTTAAAACCGTTCTTATAAAATTATTTGTCATATTTGTAAAATCTTTATTTATGAAAACACATGCTTAAGTTCGATATACAAGGCAATAATTATGTAACGCCGTTTCTCATATACAGAGAAATATTAATTTAATCATCAGCTATAACTTATATACAGGTATATCAGTTATAGCTGAAGATTAAAATTAATATTTATCTTTACACTTTTTCTATATTAAAAGCATTACATATGAGTGTATTCTAATCATTTCTCGCGCGTCTTTTATTGTGAAATCATTAAACTACAATTATCTGTAATTCATTCAGCTTCTATTCCATCGTATTCTACTTGCAGAATAAAAGAACATAATAAACTGCAACAAAATAATACCGTAAATTAAAACTATTCTCAATGTAAATAAGAATTAATTACTTAGTTGCTGATTATGATGTGAAAAAGAGCAGTTTTTAAACTTTTAAATAAGGTGAAATATACAAATATGGGAATCCTACAAATCTTGGAAAAATATTTTAAATTTCTAAATTCTTATCTTTGTTTACGTTTCCATCTTTTTAATCTTTCGAATCCTAATCTGAGAACTCGTGAAAAGTTTTAACTCGAAACCTTGTAAGGGTTTGTTTTATTGATGTACTAGAGGAGCATTTGTTTAAAAAATGACATGATTGCTGCAGTTTCATTTGACCTGAATCACCAATATCAACCTTGAGTGCCACTATGGAGTGATCTGGGGAATAGTTATCATTTTCTGGAGAAAATTTAGCGTTTCATGTTTAGTGCTTAACTTTTCATGCTTAACTCTTGAAATATTTTTCTATTTATATTCATTTTGATTTAAAGGGATTAAAAAATGTGGAAAAATTTTTAACCTATGAACTGCTGTTCAAATACATTTTAGCAAATTATTTTCTTAAAATAAGTCTCAGACTTTAACAGTTTTAATTGACTTCATTTAATAGAATTCCTTCTGTTTTGTTAGCGAATATAGGTATATTTAAAAAGCATTATTCTTAAATTTTTGCATTATTAAACTCAGATTTCGTAATTTTTTCCCTTTTTTAATGATTTTTCATATATTAAGGATTTGGAAAATTTGAATGGAATCAGACTCTACGCAATTTAGGATTCGTGCTACCTTTACTTTTAAGCCACTTTTGCGCTGAACCCAAGTTACCACATTTCGAACATAGATAGCGTGCCCTTTGCTTCAGAACTGTCATGGACACCAACAAAAAATTCCTAAACGCTGGAAAATGTTAGGGGCACGGAGGCAAGTACCGATAAATAACATATTTCCCTAATGCATGAAAGAGAAATCAGCATGTATCTGATACAGAAAATAAACGCGTTCAAATAGGATGCAATTACAACAGGATATTGACCTTTTCACGAAAAGGTAGCAAAGTGTGCGAATATTGACGTTTTACTATTCGAATTCGGAATGTCTTTCAGTGAATGGTAAGTGATATGCGTTTTCTGATAAATTCTTTTTAAAGCTCTTTCAGTTAAATTTTGTATTATTATTTTATTTTGATGAACACGATGAATAACTATATTAATTCAGTTGAATAAAATGATTTCTGAAACATATGGTATTTTGAACAAAAATCGATAAGAGCCCAATGAATTGCAGATTTTAATTGCAGTGAGTGTCATTTTCTAATATAGTTTTAAGGAAAATGTTTTATACTATCAATATTGTCCTCACTGTTTTGAGATAATATTCTGGTATAATTTCCACACCAGTAAGCCTAAAGGCACAATTTTTGAATGCCATATTCGTTTAAATGCTTAAATATTTTATTAGAAGTGCAGCTTACCTCTATATAAATGTTCCTATTTAGCAGGCAAGTGTGTAGCTTCCTTTCACGATGTTATTTATTACCAATAATGTCAACGGCTTAGAGCATCATTTATTGAATGGCAAAACGTAACTTCACTACCGAAAAATCTCTTAATTGATCTCTTTGTTTTGGGTAAGTTTTATTGAATAAAACACATTACAGAAAAGAAAATCTAATTATTATAAAATTAGAAAAGTTATGCGGAATGTCTAATGAACGGACGTTTGAGATAATGAGATTACACTGTATGCTTCATTTCACCTTAAATATAACTTACATGAAATTCTGAACCAAATTTTTAATTACTCTAATAGAAATATTTTGAACGACATTTGCGTTACTCTAAGGACACATAACTCAATTTTAGTGCAAATAAAAATATCTTAAATTTTGTTTGCGCAATAATTACTTTTACAGAATAGTAAGCATGGTTTGGAGGTAGAATTAGTATTTCTAGCCTTGTAAAATCATTATTACTTTTTATAACAAGTATTTTTTTCCGTTTTTAATTATTCATCTCATGAACACAATGAAAATGCATAAATAGTAATTTTCCTTGCACTTTTTTATGTACCTTAACAGAAGCTATGTGAAAAGAACATTCATGTATTTAAATTTTAGTTAAAACGTAAAAATTATAATTTCTTGAGCAGCCTAAATCTCTTCTCAGTGTTTAAAAATATTATTTCTTCTAAGAATTGAAACATCGAATTTATCGTCAACTCCAGACCAATGTACTGAAAAACTACGTTTTATCTGTAACATATTAAAATTAACTTGAAAGAAACCTATTTTAAAAGATGGATAATCCCTAGTCCGCCTTTATCATCAGAAACAACTTTAAACTTAAACTCCGCAGATAATGTCTTTGTATACATACAGAATAAAAGTTTCTGTACAGTTTCAGCCATCTGTGCAGAATACGAATAATTTCAGCTGTAACGGTAACAAACAAGTAAACAGAAATATATATTTAAGAATACAAATTGGATTTAATAATGAAAACATGTTTAATGAAACTATTAATCGGTATATATGAGAGACAAGATAAAAAATACTTGGGTTATTATGAACTTTGTTTTTTCTTTTCTTCAGTCTTTGCATAACTCATTGCATGGCTCCATTAAATTCTGAATGCCATTTTAATCCTGAGCTGCCTTTCTATGAGAGGATCCAAATTCAAGAACGCTACCAAATAACAATTGTGCACCCCTTGAAAAAAGGATGTATAAAGTTTTTATTGAGACATCGTGCTTAATTTTATCCAATCTGAATAGCTTGCGATTACAATTACAGTGCTGAAGGAAATTGTACGTATATATGCCGGTTTCTCCTATGCCTGCAATTATCTAAATATGATTCTAAAATGCTTATGCTGCTGTTGCTCTACCTTCTTAAAAAAACAATTAATAATTTGCTATGAAGTGCGACTATGAAGAGGCTCTTCCCCTTTTTATTTTCCTTCCATTTGTCAGTATATTTTCATCTTTATTTAGGTTAGAAAATTATTCAGTTTTAAAATATCAGACAAAAATTTTCCCTACAAAAATCGGTAGTATTTAAAAATTATGAAAATTCGGTAAATTACTTTATATATTCCTAAAAACTCAGTAGTATAGATTTTTATCTGTTCCATGGTGAAAAGATCCTAATTGTGGAATGAATAGTTTTACTGTTTAAGAATTTCTGTGAAATATTCAACAAGTAGAAATATATATGTAGATCTTGCAATCAACGGTTATGGAATATCATATTTTCATTGTAAATACATGCTTCTGAAATGTTTCAAGAAAACCGGATGGTTGAAAAGGATCAAAAATTATTTATAAACTAACAGCGAGAACATGTTACAAACAATACATAAAGTGGATTGTTGCATTTACTACTACATAAAAGTGGATTGTTGCATTAAATAAATTCTGAGGCATATCAAATATATTTTCTTTAACAATTCATTTATTAAAACCCTACCAGCCCTATTATATGTTTCATGTTATGAGCTTCGTAAAAAGAGCAATTATAATATTTATGACATTTACTTGCAAATTGCTATACTTTAAAATTTATTATGAATCAGGCATTTTAATATTGCATTTGCATTCCTAATAATATTATTTATATTAAAATTTCACCTTTATTTATCAGTATAAAAGTACGTTAAAGTTTAGTGATTGCATTCAATAGACTTGGAAAGATATTAAATAAATTTCTATTAACAGTTCATTAATTATAAAAGATGTGTTTCGAAAAAGGTAGAGCAATTATAATATTTACGACATTTACTTACAAGTTACTATACTTCAAAATTATGAAGCATCCATTTCTAATGTTACCTTTTTCATTTGTAAAGAGGAATAATAATTAATTATATTAGAATTTCTCCTTTATTTATCAATATTTGTTCTTACATTGATGGCAATATTTGTCTCGCTACGCATCGACTGCTTTTTGATGAATGAGTCACGCCCTTTTCAGTTCTTTCTATTTAGATAACATCTCTGACACACCTAACCACACCCTGTTCTGGTATTTATGTCTTGTAAAATGTATTTTACACATCGGCCTTGTTAGCCCGAAAAATCATAAATATTAACGGGTAATATTAATTTTTACTCATTTCTCTACCCTGTTGCGTGTTGTTCGTATTTCAAAGAGATGGTAATAGATAGGAAGTTACTATAGTAACTGTTTTTTCTTCTTTTTTACGGATTCAGACATTTGTCATGTGGTTATTTTACAGGAAAATAGTTAAAATTATATTATAAAATATATGCATGCCTAGGTTAATGCTTTTTCGCAATTTATTATCCATTTCCCGATTCCATATTTCAATAATTTAATAAATTTTATGGATATTGTAAATGATTTCTCCAATAAGAATTATCCTATTTTATGAGAAAGCGCATCAGAATAAAATATAACTCCTCTATATACAAAAAACTTCTAAAAGAATTTGTAACCCTTTTAGAAATGTTTCCAAAATTTAGTGGCACTGTTTTTTGATATATGGTTTTATTATTTCATTATACTATTTTTTAATTCAATTGCTATGCGATATTTTTCCTTAGAATTAAGAGACTTATTATTGCAATGCAAAAATATTAAAATGTATCTGACAATAATATCGCAAATGAAAACTAAATGTAAATCATGTCTTTTACATCTCTTGGTAAGCTTGATTAATAAGCTAGAATATTTTTTTTCCTTTACTAAAATTTAAGATCATGAGGCAGGTTTTATGCTCAAAATACTTTTTTTTATTAGATGAGAAATAAGCAGATTTATATCTATAATTGTGTCAGATTAATTGCACTCCAGATACGTTGATAAATTCACTTTTCTATTGCAGTTATTTTATGTATCAACGTTATATGATCAAAAATGAAACCTCAACTTACCTTTTACTTAGTCGTGAAAAGAATAGTATAGTTATTTGATCTACATATTTTATAGAATTATTGAAAATACATTGGCGTTTTCAGTTATTTGTTCAAATGATTATAGCATTTACGATAACATTTACATTCTCTTAGAAGCTACTGAATTTCAAATTATGTTACTTTTAATTGTAATTTACTGTTGTTTATTCAGCTTTTAATACTTAAGCACTGCAAATTATAGTCATTATTATTATTGCACAATAGTACATGGTTTTGGGTATGATTTATACAATCTCCATCTTTAGAAATATTTTTGATTTACTTATAGCTTGTTATGTCCATTTATCATTTTTGGTCTAGTTGGTTTCGATTCGTTGCAACTGTAATGATCTGATTCCGCATCAGTGATATTCTAACTCAGAAAACATGCATGATCGAATTTCTTTCTCTCTAGGGAACTAAGGGAACTTGCATAAATAACTGCTCTTTCTCTATAAAGTTTCACTTTTTATAACGTGAAGAGCGGGGAAAAAAGGAATGAAAACTTTTGAAAGATTAATATATTAATAAGCATAACAATAAAGATAATGAATAGTTTCGACAGTATTTCTCTAAAATAAATTAGAGGAAACAAAGAAAAAACATTTGCTTTCTTTTCCTAACATCACGGAATTTATTCGAAAAAAATTTAATGTTAAAAATTTAGTAATATAAATTTCCGCATTGCTTCCTTAATCATAAATTTATTATTTTTTCAACTGATAAAATATTTGTTTATAGCTACTTCATTTTCTAAACTTTTAAAGCTGTGGACATAACAGAGAAAAAAAGGCATGTGGTTTCTTATTTGATGATGAGAATTTAATTTTTATCACCAGAATGTATAGGGGTTTCCAAAATTATCTTTATTTGCATTAAAACATGAATTCTTAAAATCTATTGTATAAAACTTAATGAATTTATTTGATGGATTAAAAGCATTATAAATTCGAAGTGAAAAATAACAGCAAGTTATACATAATATAATGAGACAAATAAAATTGAAGTAATATGTGAAAACGAAATTTTAGGAAACTCGACTGCCTGGAAAACTGGTACAGATGTTTTACTTTGATAGGGAATTGATCTTTCCTAAATTGTATACGCATATTGCACTGCAATTTCATGCTTTGCGTAAGGTTATAAATTAGGAATTGGGCTGGGGTTAATTTCCATTTTCTCAATTAATATAGTCATTGAAGCATGAAACTGCGTCGAATCAGAATTTTGCCTTACAATAAATTTTATTGGTTTCTCCCAAGTTCTGTGATTGGTTTAAAATCAGGCCATATGACTCGGCAATTCATTTCAATATTATCATCTTTTTATAGAAATTTATAAGATTCCTGCTATTTTAAATAACCAGGTATATTGTGATATATACCAGTACTATTACTTCCTTCTATCGTTTTCCTATCAGAATGTAAATTAGTACGATTGTATTTAATGAGATACTTTCGGATTGTAAGATAGAAGCATGTTTCTGCATCTCGATGCCCTGCTTTTAAGTTAGCTCAGAAAAGATGTATTGCTCGGCTTGCCTTTTAGTTGTCAATATTTAAATTGTTACACTAGTGAGAAGTCTGAGTCAACTTCGCGTTAAAGCAATTGGTGACCTATGGCTACTAGATTTATTTGTTTTTTGAAATTAAAATTTAATATAACTTCTAATTTGAAATTACTATAACTTTAATTTACATCTTGACAAGTAAACGGCTGATCATGTTAAGCACGGGACCAGCATTTACACTGGCGTGCAAAAATTAAGGACGAGACGGTTTTTTCAATATAACTTTGTACAAAAGCTTTCCAAATCAACACATTTAATACCGTAAGATCCCCAATACGTAAGGACATGAGTAATGTAAGCAACACTTACTAAAAGAGAAATCAGAGAGATAAAAAGAAGCTTTATTGAAAAAGTAGCATGGAGCGCAATGCGACTGAAGGCCGAAACATCCCTGTGATGGGTGTCCAGCAAGAAACATCCGGTCTTTAATAGTGGGATATGATCTCCCCTGACTGCTAGGCAGGTTTCACAGCGTCTGCCCATGCTGATAATGGGTGTCAATGAGTTGTTGAGGCATTGCTGCCCATTCGTCTTGCAGCGCCAATCGAAGCTCCGGAATCGTTACTGGTGGTAAGGTACGAGCTGCCAAGCGTCTGCCTAGAAAATCCCATACATGCTCGATGGATTGAGATCCGGAGATCGTGCCGGCCAATCCCATACGCTCAATATCCTCACTCTCTAAGAGCTGTTCGGCAGCTACTGTGCGATGACAGGTGCATTGTCCGTCCATGAAAGGAACTACGGACCCATAGCGTCTCTAAAAAGACGCACATATATGGAAGAAGAATCTCGTTACAATAACGGTCCCGTTGACTGAACCTGCGTCGAAGATGTGAAGGTCTGTACGACTACCAAGCATGATGCCTCCCCAAACGAGATCAACCGCCACCTCCATACCTGTCCCTTTCAATGATGTTCGAGGGATGATTGCGGCTTCCCCTCCCCGCTCTCTCAAAAAAAAAAAAAAAAAAAAAAAAAAAAAAAAAAAAAAAAAAAAAAAAAAAAAACAATGAGTATTCGATGAGAATCGCTACTCAGACTGAATCTGCTCTCATCTGTAAAGAGTACTCGTCCCCATTCATTGTCTCTCTCCAATTCCGGTGTTCCCGGCACCACAGAGAACGCCTTCTCCGATGGGCATGGCGTTAGAGGTACACACCGTACAGGGCGTCGTGCAAACAGACCATCACCGGCAGTTTCTGGCCACGGTAAAAAAACGCGATATCGGTCGTCCAGTCGCCTGTGTTGTGTGTCTAGCGATTTCTCCCGCTGTCTGCCGCGTGTTTCTTCTGGCCTGTAAGGCAATATACCGGTCATCTGCGAGTGTGGTTCCTCGTGGACGACCACTATTAAACCCCCGGATAGCTGTTCCTGTAGTTTGAAATTGTCTCAAAAGTCGTGAAACGATGCTGTGAGCAATTCCGAACTCTGCAGCCACACTTGTCACACTGCGGCATTCCTCCAACTTCCCAATGATTCGACATCGAGCAAAAGCATCCAGATGTCGTCTAACAGTTTGATTATTCGCCATTTCTCGCTGAGGCAACAACTCGGTGTGATTTTAACTGCTGTACGGCGTGCAATCTCTTTGCCGGAAATACTGATCTTACACCGACAACATGCTTTATACTACTCAGACACTCCCCCATTACGTCTACCTGCATATCTGCGCATGTGCTACCGTACATCACCTTACTTAATCTCTTGATTGGCTTTCTGTTCGCTCTGCCTCTTCGTTCAGCTGATATGCTAATTTTTCGACTTCGTCCTTAATTTTTGCACACCAGTGTACGTTTGCCGCTGTGATTTAGTATAACGATTTGCTAAATCATCACGAGACCCTTGATTTCTGTCCAGACATAGCGATAATTCGCTTAACGTCTGTTAGGAGACTAATATTAGTTTAAGCTAAGAAAACAAGTCAAACTTTATAAATGTATCAATCAAATTTGACCTGGATTCTCGTTATACAGCCTATAAATATTTGATCCACATCTACCTCTAAAAATTCCTTTCATTGAACTATTGGACTTAATTTCGATATCTGCGAGCAGATATTGAAATTATTTCAACTATAAATTTAATTAATTGATTATTTCGATATCTGTGTCGAATAGATGCAAAGAAATATGACAGTTGATAGTTATTTCTCACTATGTCATCATATATGCACCCCTGGAAGGCTCATATTTTCTAAAGCTGGTGGAAATGTCCCGTATTCTTAGCTTCCTCCAAGTGAAAACTTTTTTTAATCGCATTCCATATTGAATCTTAGCTCGTCACCGAAAAGAAAATAGGACCATTATTAATGTTTAACTCTGTTGTTCTCTAAACCAGTTCATGCAAGCTCTGCTTTGTTGCGAGGTCAGCGAAGAAAAGCTTATTGGCTTTCTGACATTCAAATCTTCCTCATTATGCTTTCCGCATACCGCCTGCTGTGATACAGAAATTTAACCAGTGCCTTCAGTTTTCAAACTCGGTAACCAAACATAAATTACTTTTATAGCCGGCAGTTACGTTCACTTACAAATTTATCTCATCGTCCTAGCAACAATTTCCGAATCTTTCAAACGTTTGCAGAGAACAGCTATTGTCTTGAAATTATTTAGAGAGCTTAAAATGTCCGTGATTATCCGGTTTCTAAACAGTTAGCAGCTTTCCAGATCAACAATTATTCCAAATGACACTTCGAAGAGTTCTAAAAGAGTAATTTTCTTTGGTAAATACTTAAATCAAACACTAAATGTCAGAGGTTTGCGGGGAAATACACATTTTATGTGGGTAAGAATAACTACTGACATCAGTAAATAAGTATGTGCTCCGACTTTTTTTCAAGTCTATGATTTGTTGTTATACACATTTAAAAACTGGATGGAATAGATTGCAATAATATAATGCAATCAGGTTATGGACTTCTTAAATATGTTTTCACTTTGTTCTTAAATTTTCATATAAAGATACAAGCTACATTTTCATGTTCTGTTCGAAACAACTTATATTAGTTATTTATGTGACTAATAGACATTTTATGCATATGTTCGTAATTTATAGTATGATAGGTTTTGAAACAGTAACTGGAATTAATTTATTTCATACTTCAAATTAGAATTTACAAACGTAGTATAATAATATGCTCAGGCATACAGATAGTGTAACAAAAAATGTGAATAGAAATAAATTACAAAAACTGATAAAAAAATTATAACATGAATGTTCGTAAGCAAAGTTTTTCCTTTTTCTGTAATTAATTTCTGTACATGATACAGCTGTAATATATGATTCAACAAGTTCCTACAGCAAGATCTTGTTTCCTAATAAATTTATTTATCTCATCATTACAGGAATACGAATCTTCTACTTCTTTTTTATCAAAATGGAATTTTTCTGTGAAATATTTCTTACATCGAACTTTCATAAACCCAAAAATCAATCATAAATATATTAGGTAATCATACATCCAAACTTTGCCAGACACAAAAAACAATCCGCAGATTACTAACAAGTATTCTATGATAATCAATCTATATTATTATTAATCCATAGTAAACGAAAGAATGTTATTATAAATATGTAAAGAAAAACCTACGTTGTGTGTCGCTTTCCACACCTACCGCAAAACAAAGCTAAAAGATTGTGTGGCCATGATAGTAGTCATGATTAGGCTGAATTATTGGAAAATGGAGGAGGTGGTTGTCGTGGAGAGTATAGCAAAATAGACGGTAAGAAAGAATGTTTATCTCATCCCAATTTAAATCCATAAACGCAGACACGTTACTAAAGTTTACAACTTCTTTGTCTCCTTTAGTATCCAATGTTGTGTTTATCAGCTGCTACATATGCAATTGCTGCTTTTAAGTACTCCAGTGTTAAACTCATGCATTTTTAAGTCATATAAGTTTATTGTAGACATTCAAAAACGTAAAACTAAACCACATTAAATCTCTTTGCTCTAAGTTAAAGCCATACTTTTCTTCAAGCGTGTTCTTCTAATGGCGCAGGATCGATACTAAATAAAGTTGCTTTTTCTCTTGAAAGCTCAGTCCTCTTCGAGTACCTTTCGATACGGGAAAAGTAAACTAATATAGGTTTGGGTTATAATAACACCTCGATGGTGATTATTATAGGAATTACGATAGCAAGAATCAGAGTAGTATTTCATATATAAGTATCATAGCATATCATATGTTTGCAAGTTTAGCTTTAGAGGTTTAAATATAAAAGCTTCTTCTTCAGCTTCAGATATACAAATGACGAAAGGGAAGATTGTACTCAGACGATAACAATAAAGCAAAGAAAGTTCCTCTCACTGTTATCGCCTGAGCACAGATTTCTCTTCTATCGTTTGCAATTCTGCAGCTGAAGAAGAATGTTCTTTATTTCAAACTTTCAATTTAGTCCTGAAAACTTCTGAATATGACACTAATTCTTGTTGCCTTAATTTCTTCAATAATATATTCAATTTGAAAAGCAAGGTAACATAACACGAGCATACACAAGAATTACATAGAACGAACATACGAAGAATTAGTTTTTGACTTCCATCTAAAAGACAAAGCATTTTAGAGCCCTTTATTAATAGCTATTTTCATGTAAGCATAAAAATCTTCACTTATACAATAATTACCTTTGCTCTTTCATTCTGTTCATTCAGATGCCTGCAGAATGTATTAAGTCAAAATTCAGTTTTCGATTACAAAATCTAAACGAAGTGTCTGTTGGTCCTTTGCATACACCGATGAAGGATGTTTTCACTTCACGAGAATGCTTTTGGTCATGTAGCTGAAATTAATAGCTGACATCAGATATTTTAGTCATCAGATATTTAATAATTTTCTTACAAATTATTAAAAAAAGCATGATCTATGTGATGGATCATTTATTCAGACATGCGCATGTAAAGTGCGAAAGACGTTCTAGATAAGTACAGAAATAAGAAACAAGATTTAAAAGCTTTGAATTCTATATCATACAATCTAAAATATCAAATAAAATACTTATAACCCTTACTAAACAAACCACCTGTCAGGTCCATGAATCATTTACAAAAACATTTTCAGGTAGACGTTCCATTATAATGTAAAATATAAATTAAGTAAAATAAAAATTTAGAAATAAGTTTCAAAAGCTTGAGTTTCTATTTTATGAAATCTAGAATTTTCAAGTAATATACTTATAACTCAAATTACGGAAGTCACATGGCAAATTCATGAATCACTTTAAAAAGATACTGTACATAAAATATACGTTTTTTGAAATACCCTTAATTACATCAAATTCAGAAATATTAAAAGAGAGATTAAAATTTATGTATTATTTTTGTATAAAACTAAATACGCATCTACCGTTGAAATTTAATGATGTAGCATAAATTCAGTAATGAATGTTATTTTTTCTTCTTTTATGTATCTAAATATTATGCTTTCGCGATTGAAGTATTTTTTCCTCCCAAAACTTTTCTTGTTTCTTTATAATGAACAAAAGAAATTTTCTAGACGAGAAATATTTTATTGATTTAAAGTAAGAAAAAACACTTGCTATTTAGTTTTGGAAAAACGCGTATCATTTGAAAAACTAATAAGATTCAATAACACGAAAATGACTTTTTTAGTCAAGAAACTTATTATTGATTTAAATGAAAAAAAAAACATTTAAAAATCTATTTAGTTTTGAAAAAAAGTTTGTATACTTCAAAATAATAAAATATAATTTAATTGCTGCATAACTCTGAAAAGCTCATTTTTCGGAAGTTAATTAGAATTTTCTTTTAAATATATATCTGGCATTTAATTAACTTGAACTGAACAAAAACGAGCAAAAGAAATATATCAATTAAAAATATTCAAATCAATTCTTACTTTTACTGCATTTTAAAATGAAACCAGACATATCAATATTAACTTGTACTTGAACAAACTGCAATCAACAGATAAACTAGAAAGTGAAGAAAACTTGAGTTAAAAAAATGAGTGCTAGATGCAATGTAATTCAGATATTTTTTATAAGGTTTTACGTTTTAGTAATTTTTAAGATCCCTCTTTTCAGACGAATCTCTTATTGATCTTCAGAGATTTTTTTCAAGCCCTCTTCACGAACTGATACCACGTTTCGAGACACACTTCAAGCGCCGAACGTGTCTTACGCTTCCTGTTTACTTAGCTACTTAATTCAAGCGTGACTCATGTATATTGGATTTGTCACGACTTGCAAGCGAAGTGCAAATGTGTCTTGATGGTTTCGAAGAGAAAGGGATTAGAATTCGTTTTAGTTGAAGCGCAGATGTACTAAACATATATGAATTTGAGACCTAAAAGAGATTGCATCAATGATAAATTATTCCGTTTAAAGTAAAAAGCGTTATTATTTTTATACTCTGTTGTTTTGTATGTAGGATATCGAAAACTGCTGAAATAAATATGATATTTTACTTATTTAAGAAACGAGAAGCAGCGTTTATAGAGTTTTGTACTTGTTAAATAAAATATTTGTAAGAATCAAAATAAAGAATAAAGACTCTTTTTCGTGGGGGGGGAATTCATTAATTAGTTTTAAAATCACGTTTTGTAAATTAACTCTAGATGGAAAAGTTTTCGAAAAAAGTTGTATTTTAGTTTTTGAAATACACTTGTGTCTAAAATTAACTTCACATGCACGATATCATGCATTTAAACTGTAAATTTATGAATGTGTGTAAAATGATACATAACCTCAAAACACATGAATACAATTATAAAAATATTAAGAGCATTTCATGGTATAAAACTGTAGCATGAAATATAAAAATGGAAATAATATGTTGCATGAAGAGTTAAAAAAATAACTCGGAAAGAATTGAAAGCGTATGACTTTAATGCACTGTGATCTCCTCTGACATGTACACGCATGTCACAACGTATTTTCGTGCTGGCAATAACTTTATCAACCGCAATTTTGGGAATTCTTCCTGCCGTGCGGTTTCAGGGCATTTACTTCTGTTAAAAGGGGGTATCTCCGTGCAACTGCTTTTCCAAGGAAGATCCATAAATTCTATATCGGACGAAGATTAAGAGATTTTTCTGGCCATGGTATTAGTTCAATATCTTCACTTTCAAGGAATTTGTCAGCGAGGTTTGCTGGATGTGGCCTAGCATTATGTCCATGGATAAAAAAGTCAGATCCATATGCACCCCTGAAAAGTCTTACGTAGGGTTCAAAAACATCATCCTGATATGTCTGGGCTCTCACAGAGCCGCTGTTGAAAATGTGTAGGAGCATACTTCCATCGATTATTAATCTTCCCTATACCATCACATTTACATTATAGAAGTGGTCATCTTGCATAATGTTCGAAGAAGGATTTCACGCTTCAGCCTCCTTCCAGATGCAGGTACGTTTAGAATCAGATGTTAACTTATACCTCAACTCATCAATAAAGAAAACCTGAAACCATTGGTGTTCATTACGGCTCTGATGTTCTTTGCACCAATTAAAACGATCACTTATTTTCTTGTGTATAAACAGAGAAAGACATACCCTTGAATTTAAGACTTTTTCATTAAGATTTCTGTATACAATTTGCCGTGATGCAACAGTTCCTGTGTAGGCTGTAAGCTATGAGCGTAATTGTCGAACAGTAGACTTTCTGTTAAAAAGGGCAGTAATTGCGATATATCGATTTTCAGAAGCGGTTGTTAACTTGTCCTTGTAAATATCTTGTCCAGGCCTCCTTACAATAGTTCCAGATTTCGGTAATCGTTTCCATGGTGTAGAGACTGTCTATCGTGAAGTATTTACACATCTTATTGCTTCCTTGATTGTCTGTCCAGCTTCTAAACGGCCAATGATTATCCACAGCACAGATTCTTCCAGATGATACTTGGGGACCACAAGAAGTCATTTTGAGTCCTTACGCTCTAAAATCAAACTCTGTATTGCATAAATTTACTCATATATTCATTCTGCAAAAACGCTTGATTACATGGCGTAATGCCTTGATTTCCATATCAGAAACAATTTGATCACTTTAATTGCATAATACTATTTATGTTTGTCTTTCATACATTTCCTGCAAAAATGGAGTACATGAGTTGGATATTTCATGGAATATCATCATTTTTGGATATCATGAGATAAACCTGGACATGTGCTTATTTAAAATATATTTTTACATGGTTTTAGATATTTAACTTAAACAAGGGCTTAATCTTGAATACAAATGGGAATCTGGTACTAATTATAGTATATTCTGCATGGCAGAATGTTATGTATGTTTAGTGAAAGGCTGTACAGATACTTATTTGGAAGTCCCTCTGCCAGATTGCAAAATGTTATGTTTGATTTAAACACGGGGGAGAGAGCGATACCGGCTCAATTTATATTTTCACGTAGTTTTAACCCATGCAGTACCAGTCAAAAAAAGGATTTGTTTTCATTGCATGTAACTATTTACACTTTGTTGTACAAACTATACAAAGTTTTATGTATCTGTTGAAAGCGTCAAGCAGATTTGGACAAATTAATATTATTAATTTAGAAGTCAAACAACAAAATTTATTTTTACCTAAATTAATATTATGTTTGACAAGAGATAGACAGAACATTTAAAAGAAATAAAATGACAACTGAACCTGAAACCAGATATATCACACTTACATTTGCGCAAGCTCAAAGCCTTGTTTGTTTCTTTTGAAAAAGAGAAGGAACACTTTTGAAACCCAAAACGTATCTGACATACTTCTTCAAAGTCCATTAAAAGGCAATCATGTTTTACTACATTCACAGATGTCAAATTAGATATTCTTTTAGTTTTCTAAAATATAACAATAAAGTTTCGGCCATCAAGTGCAGATGTTCATTATTCATGGGTCATTCAAAATCACAAAAATGCTTCTTATTTAAAATTTTTTATTCTGTGAAGGTATGTGTAAAACTTTATACGTCATCTTGTATAAATTATAATAGTGTACTTTCATTAGCAGTATAGTAACGCTATTGGTATATTATGCCTATCTGTTCCACTTCTGAATTTAGTGGATGTGTCTGTTCAAGTTTAAACATAAATATGGAAAACTACCCTGTAGTTCAATTTTTATCAAAATAAATTATAAAGGCTTTGCAAACAACAAAGCAATTTAGTTAATTTACTTGAATGGATCTGAAAATGTCTTTAGATTTTAACTGCATATTTCATATTAGTCCTTTTGTCAATGTTTCTCTTGTATTTACATTATTAAAGATACATTATTAACAATGCAGTAGCACAAATCGATCATCTGCTTTGTGATTTCATTTCTATATATAATTTATTTTAACTGTATCTTTTGCTTACAAGAATTATTATTTGCCTTAAAATTTCGGTCCTAATAAGTAAAGAACTTGCTACGAAAATTATTTTACATGTTGCAGCGGGGTATTAATTTGCCGATTTAATCAAAAAGAATAGCAGCACATCCAACTTAGTATAATCAACAATTGTGACAAGAGATAAAAAGATTATCATTTTTGTTCCTACTTATTTCTCATTCGGAAAACTTCCCCAGTGGCATAACAGCCACTTTTGTCTTTGCTGAACAACGGCGAAAATTTCCCTGCGGGTCCTAGAAAAGTATTACTCAGGAAAAGCTGGAATTTCTTTGCTGACGGGCAGTTCTTTTTGGTTATTCTCTGGATGATATGAAACAGGAAACACAAATTGCTTTTCTATCTTCCTATAAATTTTCCTTTTATTGATTCAAGTTTACTGAGAAGTGATAGAATAAATTGTATCGAAATGGCATAGTATTCCGAAAAATAAAGGCATCTCT